AAAAAAAAAGGATAACATTGAGAGCTTGGGCCGCCTGTGGTGAGCTCAACTGTGGGTGAAAAATGGATGAAATTATTATTTAAGTCAATAAATTACGAATTACTAAGGATCATCTTGCGTGTCGCCAGCAACAGGCATCAGTATTTTTTACCTGTCACTTCCTAAAATTACCTGAAATCAACAGGTAGACAGGTAACATTTTGACCCTTGCAGATGCGTCTGGCACTCTCGGTTATGGTATTTACTATGCCTGTCACTGGATTGCTGATACCTGGCCTCTCCTACAGGACTGCTCCATCCAGTGGAAAGAACTATACCCCAGTGCTCTTGCATGTTACTTTTGGGATCACTTGTGGTCTGGGAGAAACTTATCTTCGAATGTGATAACCAGCTGGTGGTGGATATTTGGGCCTCTGGCACATCCTGTGACCCTCTTACCATGCACCTTGTTTGCTCCATTTTTTTCAGTGCTGCGTCCCACAATTTTCAACCTCTTGTCTCCCACATTACCGGTAGTGACAACTCCATTGCTGATTGCTTATCCTGTCTGCAGTTGGCAAAGTTCTGTCAACTAGTTCCATTACCAAATCAGCAGTGACCCTCTGGAACATAGATTAGCCTTTCTGCAGTCTCAAGCCATTGCCACCTTCACCTGCCGCACATACTTGGCCGGTATTTGCAAGTGCACCACATTCTACACCTCCAAATGGTGGCAAAGCTTCCCTGCCACTGAGACCACTCTTCGATATTTTGCTGGCTACCTGGCTGATCAAGTCAGTTAAATATACAACTATAAAATTGTACATGGCGCGGATTCATTTTGCGTACATTGAGAACAGTTTGATGGACCCCTTTCAGGAGGCTCCGTTACTTCACTTACTCTTGCATGGCATCCTTGTGCACCTCAGTCAATCAGATGTTTCCTTTACATCCGATGGCTGCACAACTCTACAATTAATTGAACTCCCCCAATACAGACCCTTATGGTCAAGGCTGCTCCCTTTTGTTCATGCTGTCTGGACACTTGGTCTGTGCAGTACGACCATTTGCAAGTACTTGTCTCCCTATCCATCCATCAATGCAATACTACTCTATGTTGTCAAGTCTGGTCTCTACCTGACAAGTAAGCAAATGTTACATCCATCCTCTGCCTCCTTTTCCAGTGTCTGGATGTTCCAATGGAACTCTATATGTCTCATAGTGACAGGAATGGGGCAGCTCTGACGGCAGTAGAGGTGGACACTGGCCTAGCAAATGCTTTACACCCTACATCACAATCCCACTGTCCATTCTGCATTCTGCATTCTGTCCTAGTCTGCTAGCCACTGCTAGCACCACAGGACAGAGCATCTGGAACCCGCAGGAAGGACATTGCACTTCTCCAACTACTTGACTTTATATCATCTTAAAAAGGCAGTATTTGGGCGTTAATTTGGGTGTACACCTGCCACTTACCGGAACACATAGCAGGCTGGGTGGCACCCTTAACCCACCTCAGCTTTTAGTTACTACGTGACACACTCGTTGGTTCATCCCCTGGTATCATCGCTATCACCAGGTGTGGTATGCGCCACACTTGTTGGCTAATCCATTATGTGTGGGGTGTGTTGCTGCCACCCCTATTACCTTTACTTTGCAGGGTGTGTTGCTGCCATCCCTGTTAATTTTTATTCCCAGAGAGAACCCAACAACCTTAGTCCCATTTACAGTTGACATGTGTAGTTTCTTGTGTTCCTACTTAACAAGTGAAGAAAGCTGTTAACAACTCATAGTGTTTTTAAACATTCAAATATTCCATTCATGTGTTGGTGTTATTTCAGTCAGCGTTGGGCTGTCAAAGGGTTGTCCTCACTCTAACACTATCATGCAAAAGACATTGCTTTAAGTGCACAGAACTGCTCTTTATTTAGCTTGAAAACATAAACTGCATACCCCACGTCACTTTCTTTGACGTAACTGACAAGAATACATGGTAAGCATTGTGTAATTGATACAAAGTTATCTATTATCAGGCCTTTATCTAAAGTTGCGAGTCCCTTTGTTCGCATAGCACAAACTTGCCGTGAACTGAGCTTGTACATGTATATTTTATATTATCTGTGTCGATTTTCCCATTTCACCCTTCCCCTATTTAGTAAGGCTGAACTACAGGCTTGGGTGCACACCTGCTATTTAGCAGTACTCGTAATAGGCTGGGTGGTCAACCCTTACCCCACCTTAGCTTTTAATTACTAGGCGGGAGTAGCATGCACCACAGTAGCTGGCTCATCCTCTAGTATTATCACTATCACCAGGTGTGACATGTGCCACACATGTTGGCTCATCCATTACGTGCGGGGTGTGTTGCTGCCACCCCTATCAGTACCTTTACTTTGCAGGGTGTGTTGCTGCTCCCCCTATTAGTATGTTAACTTTACAGGGTGTGTTGCTGCCACCCCTATTTTATTCCCAGGGAGCATCCAACAACCTTAGTACCATTTACTGCCAGACAATTGTGTAGTTTCTTGTGTTCCTACTTATCAGGTGAAGAAAGTTGTTTAAGTCTTGAACTGTGTAAAATGATTATGATTGTTGTTTATCGTGGTAGGATACAGTAAAAAGAGTATATTATTATTTTGCCTCACGAGGTAGTCTCTTGAGATGGAAACTGTGACGTTTCGACTTCTTTCTGCCTGTTTTCAAAAGGCGATGACCGATGAAGTTGACTGATTTTACCGTACTAGCAGTTAAATCACAAAGGTGGACTGTGATTGGTGCATTTCTATCCTCCATTGTTCCATTGTTCCAGTGTAAAGTTGTTCCATCAGGGATAATGTATTGGGGAGAAACATATTAAGACTGATTATACTTATGCACAAATTTGTGCACCCTTTTATATACATAATACCCAATTAAAAGTTTTGCAAAGTGTATACTTGGTCTTAATAATCTATTAACAAGAGAGATTTTTTGCTTGTGCTAGTGATGATAGTTAAAAATACAAAATTTGGTCTGTAATGAGGTTCAAAAAATAGATCCAACATGCATGTGGATTAAAATAGTTGTTCCAGAATCTACACATTATGCAATACATTTGGAAAATGTTAATGATATTTAAATATTTGCACATCAACAATGGTGATATCTTAGACATGTTGTGTGATGTTTCGACATATCTAGAGACAAAGTGGTACAGATTCTGACCTGGTTCAATGAAATTATGTCACTTGAATCTATTAATAGCAAAACAAGCCTTGATGATCATAACCACCAAATACCTTGAGGGTTTCACTGTAATGTATATTGTATGACAAGAATGAGGGTATTGCCATATTTGGTTTCCTCACTCAGGCCCCTCCTAGCTATTCTACAACAGCCACTCTTGGGCAGAATTAGCTGGCCATTGTAAAGAAGTGGCCATATGTAGTGACCTTTCAATCACTTCTGACAGTAAAGTGTATGGATTGGTGCATGGTTTAAGAACAAAAAGTTATGTCTATTATGGTGAGGTGGTAGCTGTTAGAGGTGTCTAGAATGTCATTTTACCACTATTTTTGCTTGTCTGTCAGTGTAAGTAAACATATAAACAAAGATGACATGGTTATTTGTTGATTATCACATTATATGTAGCATCATTAATCTGTCATCTTGGATTTCACTATTTTTCACAAAGTCAGAAAATAATAAACCATTTATGGATGAGGTTGCTCTGCAAGACACTGACAAATCATGATGTCATGTGATAAGCGAGTTCAATAATCTTCATCCTCCACATTGTAGTTTGATAAAATGTTACAAAAGCATCACATTTTGAAAATGAATCTACTTGCAAACTGTATGCTTTTTTCCCTACTACATGTAGTTTTTGCCCGTTGCAAAGTGAAAATATCAGTTGCGTAAATTATTTTATCATTTCAAGTTAACACTAATAGAGATCTTTTGTTTTTTGGTTTTCAGGATTGCAATGGCTTGGTGAAAAGATAATAGAATTAGATGGAAAGAAGATAAATCTTAAGATTTGGTCAGCGGGAATCAGGTGATTGTATAAATTATATGTGGCTAAATATAATTTAGGCAAAGTTAGACTCGAACCATACCAATGTAGCCAGCAGTTTCTCCTTTGACAGTATGTGATCTGAGGGGCAGCCCTCAGGGGATTTGCAGGGCCCTTGTGCTTCACCACACTACATGTACAGTTCTGTTAGCTGATTTTTGCAGATCACTTGCAGTGTGTGTTAGCGAATCTTTGCAGATTCTTGCTTCCCATACCATGTCGCCCTTTTCTGTCCAGCTCCCATCCTGTTGTAAATTAGGAGAATCAAAACATATCCTAGTCATTTAGTTGTGCAATACTTAGGTGTTTCCTTGTTTTTAAATAATCTGTTATTAGTCTTGTTCATCTTGCTCACCTCTTTTGACAACTTAATTATGCAACCCATGTGCACTTATGCCGTTTGACATTTCATGACCTACGACATAGCCAGCATAAAAGGGTTCACAATTTCACTGGAAGTTAGCCCGTTTTTTAGTGCAAATTTCCATTTGCTCATTGGCTCAGAAGTCTCGGAAGACACTAAATGCAAGTCAAATTTAAATGACATTTTGGGTCCTTGTTTTTGAAAGTATAATACTAATGCATTAATTACATGACAAAAATTAAGGTTTTACATTTCTTTCCTGCTTGCCGCCCTCTTTCCTTTTCCTGCCATTTCCCCTCCCACCTCCTGTACCCCTCCCACTCGTTATTCTCCTGGGCTGCTGCCCACCCCCTGCCCCACCCCCCACAACAGGAACTGATGGAGGTGAATCCATGACCTTTGGCACACTGCATGGATCTTCTGCCATAGAGCTATGTTGAATATAGGAGATGTATGGGAGGTTAAGTCCATACAGCCTCCTGACAAATACCCTGCGACAAAATGTTGAGATTAGTATTTGTGATTGATGGTAGGCAATTATATATATTATGACCCCACCCCTTAACTCCCCAGACGTGGATCCAGAGGAACAGTTGAGAGGACTGCAACCCCACTTTGAGCAACATTTTTTGTTATTTGTTTGACTCATCACAAGTAAAAGTATTAGAATTAAATTGTCTTATATTTAGCTGTTTTATTTCCACCAATTGACTGATTGTCAAGTTAGGAAAACATAAATGTACATTTTGCCACTGCATGCTTTTTTTTTTGGGGGGGGGGGGGGTTTCTGGTTCAGGAATAACTAAAGGCAAACTACAGATTTTATATCATGCCATCACAAACGCTTTTCAAATGTCAGGAATGCTGGAAATGGCGTTTTAAACTGCAAAGATTGGAAAACATTTCTGGGCGCTGACAAATGGCCCCCCACCCCCCGAGAAACTCACACCTGTGGTGCTCAGCATCCACACCGATAGTGTTGAACGTTATTAAGGTGTGCAACCCCCCTTTCAGGAATTCCTGGATCTACCACTGCTCCCCTGTCCCAATGCTGTGTCATATATATTATCATAGTAAATGGTTTGAACCCAGGAGTATCAGTGTACATAGCACTACGAGATTCATGAGGATCTGAAATCATGGACCCCTGCCGATGTTCTACGGTTGAACCGTAGAACATCGGCAGGGGTCCTGGTTTATTCGACACGTAGCTTAACAGCGGGAATGAAATTCCTTGACGCCTCTTCGCAAGAGACGTGTTAAGAAATCAATTTAATCAGACCGCGATCTGACAACAGAAACACGAACCCGTCAAGTTGATCGAATGAATACAGGCTCAGAAACAAGGGCAC